AATTGCTGTAAAGGTAGAAAATTTATTAATCAAATATCAATTGGAATATTAACTTGTTTGAATTGATTTTCAAAACCCAGAAATTTCTTTTGCAATTATTATTATGTGACAAAATTTAGCTCTCAATATTTTTAAATTTTATAATAAAAATTAAACGACAAAACCAATCTCAATGGATCTTAAAATAATTTTTAACTGGTTTCTTCATATATGTACAATTTAAAGCACCTGTATATACACATATGCATACATACTTAAGCCTACATATGCTTTAAACGAAATTTAAAAAACAACAACAAAATAATTTTTTTCACCTTTTTAAATGTGAGGTGATATTATTTCCGTTTGATTGAATTCCGTATTAAAACGGATTTAGTCAATCATTCTTGATTTTTAATTTTTGTTTGTTTTTGGTTGTTTCTTTGGTATACACATATGCCATATACAAAATTGTATATGCAATAACCACAATAAGTTTAAGGAAAGCCTTAAATACTTATATTAAAAAAGAAAAGAAAATATTTAAATGAGGATTCATTCCTTGTCTTTCTCTCAAAAGTTGGTTACCCGTCGTCATCGTCATCATCATCATCAGCATCATGTTCCTCATAATCATCATTATCATTGTTGTTGTCATATAATCGTAACATTTTAATGATATGACGTTTTTGATCTTATAAGTGTTACATTTTTTTTTTTTAATTTTTAACTTTAAAAACCTTAATTTTTTTTTCTTTAAAATATTCCTATAAGCTTAATAACATTTATTTTATTAGACAGGTATATATTTAATATTTAAAAGTGGTGTTTAATTATTCAGACATATTTTAGAACTTTTAACAATTATACTTAATTCCAGTTTACAAAAGCAACAATAAAAAATAAGGCATAAGAAACAAAGTTTAAAGCAAGCATTGGAGTTCACATTTTGCTACACTGTTTATTAAGCAATTTGCAGTTTTTAATTTGCGTAAATAATGCGATTAATTCAGATTATTGCATAAGAATTAAAGACATTCCAATAGAAATGTTTTCCTTTTTTTTTACATAAATACTATAAATATCGAAAATCCCAGTTTCAAATTGACCGAAAATTTAATCGATATTTTTAATACATAATTAAATTACTGCTATAGGTATAACTTATGGCATATGAAAGGCTGGTGAAAGTTTATAATTTAATAAAAATTCATGAAATACTTGCGGATCACAAAAACCGATATTATATAAAGAAGTACAGCTTAAAAAGTGCGAAATACGGCTGAAAATCTTAATGAAACTTATTTAATCTAGAGTAGAAAGAAAAATTTATTAATTGAGCTGTTAAGAATAAGGTGGCCATAACGATCGAATTTTAGTTACAGTTAAGATTGCAAAATTCTTAAATTAGAACATGTTCTTTGAAAAAATTATTCAGTTGTTTCCTAAAAGTTGTTGTTTAATATGATAGTTCCTTTGGACAAAATCGTATTCTGTCAAACAAATGGATAAATTCACATTTAAACAGCACTATCAAAAACTCAAATATTCTATAAAAATCAGACATCGATTTGCGAAGCTTGTATTACGAAGCTATGTTCAGGCAATAGTTCTAAACGGGCAAAAATATGTAAATAAAAAATGATAATATAAGGAGATTCGCCGCAGTAGGAAAACTCTAAACTAGTATATAGATATTGTTAGATCCAGAAAACTGCAGCATTTTGTTCCATTCAAAAACAAGGGCACATTCATTCGGGCGAAATATTGCTTAAATAGATTGGCGCTACATTTTATGTACGTGAACCGCAATCATCAATCTGCGTTAACGTTTCGTGTATTTTTATACTTATAAATGTATAAACGAAAGCGTTCTAACCTCTCTTTTACAATATTGCCTTATTTAACACTTTATGAAATATTTATAAGTCTAATATTTTTTCTTAACTAGAACCGACTGGCATCAAATTAATTTTCAAAATTGAATACAATCAAAATGGTCTTAATATTATTTAAAAATTTGTATCAAAATTCTTACTACTTATTCTTATTTTCGAAATTTTTTAAAATTCATACTTGAACTGATATTAATTTTATGGTATTAAGCAAATTCTTATTTGTTGTACAACAAAATTAAGACAAAACTCTGAAATATCCCAAGTGAACTGCGTAGTTCTCATAAATTTGAAAATGTAATAGTATTTTCAATAATGTATGAATATCAGTAGAATTTTCCCTATGAAAAATATAAATTTGTCTGCTAGAATACCTTGAACATCATAGCACAGAAATACTCTGTGAATACATTGAATTCAACAATTTATGTTAAAGCTAAATCGTATCAAAAATCGTGTTACTGTAATATGGAATCGGGGGACCTATTCAATTTACTAATCTCTAAAATTTTAAAATGTATAAAATTGACGTGCTCTTATTAAATTTTTTACCGGAAATATTTTAATCTGTACAGTTTAAAATTATAGGCATTAAACAGTAAAGCATTAAACAGAGAGTTAGGGAAAATTTTTACTCGATATCAATTACGATTAATTTCGTTTTTTATTCAATTCTTTTGTCCATTTTTTTTTTGGTACACAATTTTTTTCTCTAAAATTTAAAATCTCTTCAAATCTATTAATTTAATCTTATAAGGCGTACAAACGAATACAATAACCGTTGACATTTTCATTGAAAAATCAATTTTTTTTTTGTTGTTCTTTTTGTTTCTATATTGACATTTAGTTTTTTGACAACTTAATTCATTTTTTTCATATTTATTTTTTCATTTCTAAATTAATAAGAACAAAATTTTGTGATTCATTGATGTGGCTTAATAGGTCAAATGAGGTTAATAGGATAAAAATTATATGAAATGTAAATGTTAGGTATATGAAAAAATAAACGTTTTTTAAATGTAGGTAATGTAAGTAAGTATGTATATGACATTTATTTAAAAATTGTATTAACTTTTGACATTTAAATTTAATATTTCAAATGAGTTAAGATAAACTTGATTTAATTGCGTTTTTAATATCTATATACATATATGCATACGTTTATAAAATTAGAAATATCCTGTTCGCAGAAACAATGATTTCGATATTTTCATATTAAAACTATTCTCCAAATTTAAGTTATAAGTTATAAATTTAGAAGCAGTTATGAAATATTGAATATGACTCTAGCTAGTTTTAATTTTTTTTAATAATTTGAAAAATTTATTGAATTTTTTTGACAGGCTTCATGTAAAAATTAAAAAATTAAGCAACATTTATATATGTACACATATACGAGAGAAAAGGGCATAGTGAAAACTTAAATTTCATTAAAAATTTTAGAAAAAGAGAATGGTTTAAAAAGGAAGGTTTACTAGTGGAAAATGGAAATAAAAATTTATTCCGAAAATATTTTGAAAAATTTGAAAAATTTCAAAGGATGGCAATACTTTCAAGGGCAATCAATTAGATTTTCATATAATCAAGTGACTTTTCAACTTAATTTTTAAAAACTCTATTCAACACATTTTCAGTAAACTTTCGTTATTACTTTATTGATCCTGGTATAACAACCGTCCATTTTAAAAACTATATAAATTAGTTTGTAAGTTTTCGTAATATGAATTAGCTATAAATACTATTTTCTATTTAACACATATTAACCAATTTACTATTTAAAATCACACGTAAAATTTCTAAATTTATGTGTGATGTTAAATAAGCGAAAATGAGATTCAAAAGAATAAAGTGATTCACCAATTATTTATCTGACTAGATAGTTAAAAAAAAACTTTGCATTTTTATTTGATTTAAATTGAATATTGAACAGTCCAATTTAGAATCACAAACTGGTTCAAATACACAGAATTTTTATAAGAGTTATATAGAATAATTGGAAATTTAGACGATCTATTTAAATTTTCTAATTTATTTCAAAAATTAATTTTCAATTTAAATAACGAGCTGCAATATATTCCAATAATCTTATATATTCACCCTTTAAAAATTTTAATTAAATAAAATATCAAAAAAATTAGTAGTCAAATAATCGCATTTTTATTATTAATTAATCATAAAATCTATGTAAGTAGTAAAAAATATAATTTTTACATTGCTTAAATTTCTACTTAATAAATTACTAAGCAATTATTAAAATAAAATTTTCAAAACTAATTATTATGAAAATAAAAATCACAGGAAACCCCCTTGAAATCCCACATATTTCAATAAATTTTTTAGATCACCCACAAAATTTTTATTCAAAAACAATTATCGCATTGTTTTTCAATCATGATATTAAATTTAATATTTAAATGGAGAAAAAAATTCTAATACATTTCTCTTCCATTCTAAAAATATTAATATAAATATACTAATTGGTTCAATTACATTATTTTCTAGTTGCGTGGGTTCAGCGTAATAACATGTCATAAACTTGTTAAATTAGATCATTTTCTATATAAGTAAAATACGATTTAGATGATCTACTCTACAAGCAAACCAAAAAAAAAATTCTATGACTTTGGTCTAATATGATATTTTTCCACTTATTTAAATCAAATAATTATTTTAATAATTTTGATTTTTTGTTGTTGTTTTTTCATACAATTTCATTTAATTGTTTCTCTATTTCGATTATTCTATATACACAAAATTATGAAATTATTAAATCTAATTAGTGTCAGAATAGCTTAATAATCATTCAATTTAACCTTGTAATTTTTCATAGTGTAGTTATAGTAAAACACAACTAGTAAATAAGTTTTTTTTTTATAACAACGGGAAAAAAATATAAAATTAATTGAAAAATTAATTTTCACTATTCTTTAATAATTACAGGAAGTTTTTTTTGTTGTGGCTTTGTTTTTGTTTTTCAAGATGATAAATGATAAAAATGTTGAGTATTATAAGTAAATTATAATACACGATTTAATTAATAATCAATTCAATTAAGAAAATAACATTCAATTACACCTACATTAATAATTAATAAAAGTATATATAATTAATTATTTTATTACTTACCATTACTACAAACACTATGACTGTCTAAATCATTATCACTATCACTATCAACATCATCATGTCCACGTCCACTACTATCAATGCTACTATTACCACCACAACCACCACTTGGTGCAACACTTAAATCTCTAGGTCCTTGTGGTGATGGTGATCTAATATGATCATCATCTAAATCTCTTATCTGATGATGATTATGATGATGATGATGAAATCCACCTAATCCATGTGTTAAATGATGTTGTTGTAATGCATGATGATAAACAGCTTGTAAATTACCATTTGTATGTTGATGAATCTGTTGTTGCTGCTGTTGTTGTTGTTGTTGTTGTTGATGATGATGATGTAAAGCTGTTGCTGTTAATGTTGTATGATGTAAATGATGATTTAAAGGATTATTATGAATGCTATGATGACCATTTTCTATGGGACTATTACGATTATTACCATTACTATTACTATTGTTATTATTACTGATATTATTGCCACCATTTCCTATTCCATTACCATTGCTATTACTTAATGTACCATTTACATTTAATGTATTATTGGATGCAGCTGCAGCAGCTGCTGCTGCGGCTGCTGCTGCTGCTGCCGCTGCACTACCCGCTAATATATCATTTATCATAAAACGTGAACGTGGTGGTTGTAATACTGCCATTGAACCACGTTGTATTGGTACTGTCATTTCAATTTTAGAATTATTAACACTATGAGCAGTAATATTTTTATTACTGCTATCTATTATAAAATTATCAATTTTTGATGTCAATTTAATATCATTTATATTATATAAATTTTTAATATCACTATCTTTATTATTACTATTATTAATGTTATTCATTAATAAATCACTTTTACTATTAAAAATTTTTTCCGATTTTAAAGTAGCGACGGGTTTTATGTCACTACTTTTTTTATTTTTATTAATATTATTTCTTATTAGAGATGATTTTGATGTTGCTGATGCCGATGATGAGGATGATAATATTTGTAATGATTTTGGTAAATAAGATTTTGGTATTATTGATGTTATTAATGTTGTATTAAATTCAAATGGGCATAAGCCCATATAATTTTGCCCGTTTTGCACGATTTTGATGGTTTTTTTTTATTAGAATTCTTAAAATGAAAATATGTATAATAAATTTTCAATGTAATTGTTTAATGGCAGTAAAAGTATAACTAAATACATATACGGTTTTTATTATTTTAACAATTCATATTGATTCCGTTTAATATTGCCTGTTATCTTATAATTTCCAAAAATTTTTTAAGTTTATTTTAAAAATTACATATAAAATATAATTTATATTCTTGACAAATTTTAAACACATTTAACTTTTATTGGAATTTAGATTGGTGCAGGTGATAAACAATAACAATTTTCAACTAAAATATTTGACATGATTACGTTCTTAAATAGATTCTAACTGTTATAATAATCGTTTCAATTTACTTCCAATTATGTTCAAATTTTAAAATATGAAATAAAAATCATTTTTTACATTCTATTGATTTTACAATAAAACAAACTATGACATTTTTATTAAAATTAAAAAATTTGACATACACATATGTATGTATGCAGTTATGTCAACATCAAGGAACGCACATGCATGCATATAATACGCAACAAATACTATTAAACAGTTTATATATATTTTATAAAATATTACAATAACAAAGTATATACGTATGTATATATACGTCAAAAAGAAAGAAAAAAAAGAGATAGAACTATTGCAAAAGAATCAATTTAAAAAATTGAATTTTTTCTTGTTTTTTCTTCTTTTAATTTTGCTTCACTTTCAAACATTTAAACCGTACTTGAACGCTGTCAAACCGACACTAACAACTTAGTTTAATAATTCGCTTATCGCCCTCACGGCAAAAAAAAAAGAAAATAAACAGAAAAATAATAATAATAACAAATAAAAAATATACGGTATAAAAGAAAAGAAAAAACAAAAAATTATTATTACACAAAAAACAGTAAACAAACAAACAAACGAACATTATATAGTAAGAAAATAAAGATTATAACATATAACATAATATAACACAAGCATATGTTATACAATTATTATTATTATAACAGTTACATACTTTTATATACAAACATCTGTACATGAACAATTATGTATGTAAATAGGAAAATGAAAAATTATAACAAATTCACGATAAAATTATTTTATTACGATTATTATTATTCTTATTATTTTGGTTATTAATAACAGAAAAGAAAACAAAAAAAAATTGTAATACAAGTAAATACACAAACATAAGCGACACACATACACAGTTACATACCATATATTAAAATTTATATAAAAGTATTTCATTCAATAAAATATTTCAACTTTATATACATACAGAGAAGAATCATTATTATTGTTATTATGTTGATTATATTTTTGCTTGGTTAATGTAAAGGCGAAGAGATTTAGGTACTTGCAATTTACATTTCTCTTCTCTTCACATCTCGTTTTAGCACAATATTATAATTTAAATTCAATTTAACACTACATCAAGTATTGCATTATAAAGTAAGTATTTCCATGATAATATATATTATAAATTTGATGTTAAATATAGTAATAATAACAATAATTCACAAACACATAGATATGTTATAAAACAATTTCACAAACATATGTACATGCACGTCTGTATAAAAGATATGTGCGAATTTTACTCATTTGCATATGTACATAATGTAGATGTCACACATCAATAGAAAATCCTTATAATTTTTGCCGTAGTACAATTTTTGGAATTTGAATATACATATACTAACAAATCGAGGCCAAAAAAAAAAGAACTAGTATGATTTTGTCCTCTTTGTTAAAATTTAAATTATAATGCACAATATAACGGTATTATTTTAATATTGAAATTAAATGTAATTTGTTATTCCTTCTGATTAAAATTGAACTTAAGGACTGGCGTCCGCTCAATTCTACTGTAATAGTTTTGAAGTTTTATACCTTATTTCGAAAGAAGGAAACTATAATAACTAGTATAATTCTATAATATAGTATATTTCATATATTATAGTAACAATATAGCAGATGAATATGCAATACTTTCATATTCAAGTACTGATTTCATCCAAAATATGACTTTTCTTTATTTGTTTTATTGACATATCCGTTTGCTGTAAGAAAACATTTACAGTGTCATCACAATAACAAAATAAAAATAAAAAATTTTAATAACAATCTTTAAAAGCCTGAGTAAAATACACAAATACCTAAAATGGTATTTTAAATAAGAACAATTAAAGAAGAAAAGCAGAAAAACACAATTCTAGGGGCTCTCTAAAGAGAGAATTGCAAATAATATATTATGTACATAAGTAAACCAAAAGAAAAAAAGCGCAAGCAAACAAACCAAAAAAGCGAATGAACCAAAAGCTTATAAGGCATTAAATAATATATCAAAAGCAAAAAAATAAAATAATATGTAAACATACAAAAAGACCACATCAAACATTTATGAAGTCAATGCAACCAACTCATACACATTATTATGTACAAAAGTATATATTCAGATTTTATGATGAACAAGTAAAACTGGTTTAAACATAAGGAAAGTCAATTAATATTTTTTATTGTAACAAATACTACAGATCATCGTATACACACTCTCATCTCACAAAATATTGAGCGAAAATCAAATATTAACATAATATCATTGTTCAATATTTTTACTACTGCTATGGAAGTAAAGTATAGGTTTGCATATAAGTAAATCTAAATTTTACGAAGTATTAAAGGAAATAGGTAACATAAAGGTAAGTAACATTGATGTCACTATTAACTCGACAGTAAATTTTTTTGCTATTATCATGGCATTCGTTTTTAAGAATTTACTGTCACAATAATTTTTGTTATATTAGTAATGCTCAAAAATAAATTCAATTCATTAAGTGAATTCTAGAGTGTCATAATATTAAATAAATTTCGGTAAAATAAATTTAAAATCATAAATAAAATGAATGTAAAACATTCATGACAATTCAAATGAAAAATAAATTATATTGGCATTGACAATAACATTTGCGGCGAAATAACTATACTTTATATAGAAAAGAAGAAAAAACCAAAACTTGAAGATGAAATAAAAATCCAACCAATCATATTGAATTTTTCGGGTTTTTGAAAATTTTGATTTTTTCTTTTTTATTTACACAATTTGATTCTACGTTCTACGCACGTACACATTTAGATTTGACTTTGAATTATTTAAGAATGTATTCGATTTTGCTTTTCACTTTTCGTACCTTCATTTTACTCATGCGCACATTTGTCATACTGAAAAGTACCGTTAAAACTCTTATTAAAAATCAAAATTATATATTAAGGGTTCTAAGGCTATCAAAATTAAGATTTAAACCGCATCAAGAGGGACAATTAAGAGTAGTTAATTGAAGAGCAATTTAAATTAAAAAATAGTCAAAAAAATTTCAAATATTATTTGACATACCCATGAAGTTTGCACCGACAATCTGAACAACTGTCCAAATGTTCATTTGGATGTTCATTTACTTTTGACATAAGAAATTTTGAGAAATTGAAGAGTTCAATTAAAATACTTTGCAATTAAAATATGAACCTAATATTTCTAAATAATCTGAACACTAATGAAAACTACTTGGAGCTTAATTTCTCTGACATTAATTCGGAATTCAATATTGTTTTGGCTAATGCACATATAAAGCTAAGCTTCTAAAACATTTTGCGTTGACAAGAACTTTAACTAAATAACATTTTCAATAGAAATTAAGAATTGAAGGAACTTTGTTGTTTTTTCCGCCCCGGTGTTTAGATTAATGTTTCCGAAAATAGGTTACAGTCTTATGAAATCATTATTCTTTAACCACTTTACTTTTATAATACTTCATACTTACATTCATAATTTAATTGCAACTTGAAGCCGAAAACTTTATGCAGCAAAAAAACATGTTAATAAAATTTATAAAAATGAAACTTTCATGCATAATAAATTATTTTCATAAATGATGAAAGTACAATTTCCCAAGTTAAACAAAAGTACTTTATTTCTCTTAAAAATTTCGCTGTAAATATATTAAGAGAATTTTTTACAATATTTAAGAGAATATCAATTTAAAGGAATAATATGAACAATGGAGGCGTGTACTCAACTACAAAAACACATTTGTAAAAATATGTAAAAGAAAGAAAGAAATAGATATATTATTTATATAAAAAAATTTTATATATGGATTCGTGAATTTGAAAATGTGAGTAAAAAAACTGTATGATTTTCATGCAATTTTTAAAAGCTACATACAAACGTTTAAATAACAAAATAATAATATATTATATTTCTAAAAAAAAACTGTATATCTGTCTCTTTTCATAAAATTTCTTATTAATGTACAAGCAAACGCAACCACAAAAATAATAATGATAAAAAGGCATAAAACAAAAAAAATTTATACATAGTAAAATTACAGAAAAAGAAAACAAAAAACATAATTTATAGTTCTCTTTCTATCATACTCTTCTGTCTCTTTCCCTCACACACTATTAATAATTACTATATTTCATGTAAATTATATTGGCATCATTATAGTAGTTGGGCAGATGTAGTAATAAACAGCGACAAAAATAGCAGATTCATTTTGTTTTTTATTAACTATAATTGCGATGTACAGTTAATACAGAATAATTTGTGTATGAATGTGTTTAAGTACTTATGATTTTGCTATAGTGTGTATGAAAAATTATAAGTACTTTTATAATATTAT